CTGCTATTGGATATTTATCATAAAAGCAGGTTTAAATATAATATTTAAAAAATCGTGATTATATATGTAAATATCCTAAATCACATCAGGTAGTATTTGGAAAAATAATTTGAAAAAACCTACAATTGTAGGCCTGGAATTGTAGATTTAAGAACTCTTAAAAATATTTATTAAAAGTTATCAATTTTTTTGTCTCTGAAAAAATATCCAATTATTGATTGTTACAAAAAATAAAAAGACATTGAGTTCGGCCGGGCTGAACTTCTAATACCCTCCATCATTGGGTAAAGAAAACATTTTTATGCAAAAGTATCTGGATCCAAACCTATTCCACTTTAAACTACAGACCCCAGTGAGATCGGTAGGAGAATGGTTGGAGCCGTTCTATGGGGCCATACAAAAAAGGAGGCATATATATGTACAATTTTATACTACAACGATTGTAATCTACTACTGGTCTTAAATACCAAAATTTATATAATTTTGTGGGTAAATGTGACTAGGATGAAAAGACCAATATGGAAAATGTTTTGACGCCGGTTGTAAAATCCATACAACCCATACAAATACCAAATTCCACACAAATCTATTAGAAAATGTGGCTTAAATCACGAAAATGTCGAATATCCGATGGAACCTAGATATTCACTGTTCTGCCACCGGAGCCAGAACCCATTACAAATACCAATTTTTAGACAAATTCGGGAAAAATGCTGCAAAAATCTCAAAATTCCGAATATCGGGAGTTACCCTTATATGGGGGCTATACGAAAACGCGGATCTATACAGGGTGAGACAGCTCATTATAATGTTTACAAGCGTACAAAAGCATTTTGGTGAGAATTTTCCAGAAAAAAAGTTATTCGTGATGGAATTCAAGCGTGATATTGCGATTTCTTTATACGTGGCTCTAAGACCACAAGTGGATATCGTTAGAGCACTCCAGCATTTAAATGTGAATAAATTTTTTGTGTCTCGTTCCATCGCTCGTTGCCGTGATACTGGTAGCGTAGCCCGACATCAAGGATGTGGACGGAAGAAGACAGCAACATCAGCAGAAATAGTTGGAAAAGTAAAGAAGCGACTTGATCGAAACCCGCGTCGCAGTGGCCGAAAAATGGCTCGTGAGCTGAACATATCGCAATATTCCATTCGGCAAATATTGAAAAATGAACTCTGGGTAAAGCCATTGAAATTCCAAAAAGTGCAAAAACTTACACCGCCACAGAAAGAAAATAGACTCAAAAGAGCTAAAGAGTTGTTTCGCTTGGCCGAAAGTGGTGAACTGCCGAATTTGATTTTCTCCGCTCTCCGGCGAGAAAACATTCGTTGTCCAGCAGTTTGTAAACACACAAAATGATTGTGTTTACTTGCCAAAGAGGTCAGCTGCAAATGTGCACCTTCGGTTGGACACCAGAACTCAAGCGCGGGCCATGGTGATGGTATGGGCCGCCATAACAGCCGATGGTCGCTCTCTGCTCGTATTAATCGACAGACCGTGGCATCAGAATAAATGCCGAATATTATCGCGAAAATATTCTGGAAGGTGTATTAAAGCTTTGGCCTCGCAAACATTTTGGTCGCAGGCCTTGGACATTCCAACAGGACTCAGCACCATCGCACTCAGCATGCGCCACCTAAGAATGGTTAAAAAATCAGGTTCATTTCCAGCGCACAATGGCCACCAAATCTTCGGATACCAATCCGTTGGACTATTGTGTCTGGAGTATTTCGGAAAGCAAGGTTGGCACTAAAAAATACCAAAGTGTAGATCACCTCAAGCAAGTGCTTCGCCGGGAATGGACCAAAATACCACAGAGCTACAGTCGGGCAGCGTGTGACGATTTCATTGGCCGGCCGTTTGAAGGCCATAATTCGTGCCAAAGGTGACCAATTCCAAAAAACTTATTTTAAAATTTGATGCTAATTCCGACATTTTTTGCTTCCATTCAATAAATTTTTAAAAAAAATAATACCCTCCACCATTTGAAACGAAGTTGGCAATTTTCAAAAAAAAAAAAAAAAAATCCATTAAAAATTCTGTTAACATCTTAAAAATGGCGAGTGTAGTCGTTATATTAGGGTCTATACGACGACGTGCACCTGCATGGGCAACTTTTGTCACAAGATATTACAATATTCAAATGCGAAACTTGATCATAATGTAATCATCAAAATATCGAATATTGAGAGGTACCGCCATATGGGGGGTATACGAAGGCGGTATACAGACAATTTTCTGTCATAGGCTGTAGTATCCATTACGACCTTCAATTCCTGTGATTATTGTCCCTAAAATCATAAAAAAACGAATATCTGGAGGTACTGATATATGAGGGCTATACGAAGACTTGGACCTGCACAGACACTTTTCTGTCATAGGCTGTAGTATCCCTTACGAAATAATGTCGCCAATATCATCAAAATACCGAAAAAGGAGGTACCATTATAAAGGGGCTATACGAAGGCATTGACCTGCAAAGACAATTTTCTGTCTTAGGCTGTAGTATCCATTACAAACTTTAAATATAAAATTTTTTACAATTCCGGTGAATATTGTCGCTAAAGTCATCAAAATCCCGAATATCGGGAGGTACCGATATGTGAGGGCCATACGAAGACGTGGACCTGTATACAAAAATTTCTGTCATAGGCTGTAATTCTCATTACGAATTTTTTATATGAAATTTGAAAAAATTCCGGTAAATATTGTCGCTAAAAATATCGTAAAAATAGGAAATATCGGGAGGTACTGTTATATGGGGGCTTTACGAAATCGAGGACCGACATGGCCCATTTACGAACTTAACCTGCCTACTTGTAGACCATGGATGTAAGCAAAATTTAAGCCATCTATATCAATTCGTTCAAAAGATAGTGTGATTACAATAGACGGACGGAAAGACAGACAGACAGACGGGCATCGCTAGATCGTCTTAGAATTTTACGCTGATCCATAATAAATATTTTGAGGAGTTACAAATGGAATAACAAATTCAATATATCCTCCATAGAATGGTGGAGGGTATAAGAATCCACAATTATGCTTGTGTCTAGCAGTGAGAAAAATTCCTTCATTCAAGATTATGACTAAACACTGGAAAACTTAAAAATGTTGACCCTTTCTGGAGCAGGTACTAGAAAGTGTGGACGGATTTATTCCATCTTCACACCATACCTGGGACTAATAAAAATATTGTGATGTGTGTAATTTGAAGACAATCGGACTCTTACATCATTTTTTATAAGAGTTGTAATTATTCAAAATTTTGACATTTTGTGGGGGAGGTCCAAAGAGACCACGGCCGTATCAAATGATATATAGCCTCTCTAGCCATATGGATAAAAAATATTCTAAAAATATGTTAAAAATATTTTTAATAAATTCCTATCCCTTGCTCCTTGTTAAAAAAAATATTTGTAAGAAATCCTTAAAATAACGATCTAAGTGACGGTAAAAAAATGTATACCTTATACCTTCCGAACCCTTTCGATCAATAAAAAAAAATTAAAAATCCACAATCTTTAAAAAATATATATTTTTAATACACTATCGATGGGTATTTGAAAAAAAAAAAAAAAAATAAAATATCACTTTCTGCTAAGATCCTGAGAAAAGTAACAAAAATTCTATAATCTGTTGACCACTTAAATATAAATTTACAAAAATCAGTATCAGCGTGGGCTTCACGAGCCTCAAATTAATGATTAAAAAATTTTGCGGATAATTAAAAAAATATAAGTTAAAAAATCCCTTATCCCTGGCAAATGTTACAAAAATCGCAATCTACTTATCCTTTACAATTACGAAACAATTCCATTTTTCTATATATTATATTTCCTGGAGATCGGTTGGCCGATTTTTTATTTTTTTTTATACCCTACACCACAAGGTGGTCGGGGTATTATGTCTTTGTGCATTTGTTTGTAACATGCAAAAGGAAACGAGATAGACCCATAGACCCTTTTGATGATCTGCATAGAATCACATTCTGAGTCGATTTATGCATGTCCGTCCGTCCGTCCATGTATTTTTGTAAAAAAAGTACAGGTCGCATTTATTATCCGATTGAAATGAAATTTTCCAAACAACATTTGCTTGGCCCAAGGACAAACCCTATTGAAATTGGAGATAATCGGTAAAAATTTAGATATAGCTCCCATATATATCTTCGTCCGATTTGCATTTTATTGTGCACCAAACGTGTAATATCAGCCCGAATGGAATTTTGCACATACAACCAAATTAGGCCCGAAAATAAGTATGCCAAATTTGATCGAAATCGGTTCAGATATAGCTATAGCTCCCATATATGTTGTTCATCCGATTTGTTATTTTTGTCCTCTGCAGCCGTAATATGCACTCCGTAACAACGATATTCAGGGACATATATCAAATACAGCTCAGAAATATCTTTGCCAAATTTTATCGAGATCGTTTCAGATTTGGATATACCTCCCATATATAACTTCGTCCGATTTACCCTTTATTGTGCACCAAACGTCTAATATTTACCCAAATTGGATGAAATTTGGCACTTACGACCAAACTGAGTCCAGAAGGTAGTATGCCAAATTTGGTGAAGATCGGTTCAGATATAGCTATAGCTCCCATATATATTGTTCATCCGATTTGTTGTACTTGTTACCCACAGCCGTAATATGCACTCCGTAACAACGATATTCAGGGAAATATATCAAATACAGCTCAGAAATATCTTTGTCAAATTTTATCGAGATCGGTTCCGATTTGGATATAGCTCCCATATATATCTTTATCCGATTTCAAATTAATTGTGCACCAAATGGGCTTCGGCATATTAAGTCCTTTGAATTTTAAATTATAATTATAATCATAGGGTGTATGATTGAATTCTCCCATAAAAACTTTTAAATGTTATGTGGAGCTCAACTAAATTAGCAAAGTGGTGTAGGGTATCATAAAATCGGCCCGACTTTAGGACTTTTTTACTGGTTTTTTTAAATGTATTTGATTATTAGCCCCTTCGGGCTTTGAAAAATTGTCATAGCAAACGTTGGTTAACGGTCGCTATGCCGAGTTATTGGTTTAAGTTTTCAACTAGCAATAATCGCACCTCAGCCATAGCTTCATGGGTTGCAATCATGCCACTGCACAAGTCTAACCAACTAAGGGAATGTGGGAATGTCTTAAGTGGGGAGTTTTTGGAAGGTAATGAGAATTTTTGGGTGGCAAAAAAATATTTTTAAAATCGCAATCATAAATTCCACGCAAGATATGAGGAAAAAAAGACATTTAAATGAATAATTTGTGGCTTTTTGGGGGGTTGGAAATGTTGATTATGGGGAATAAAATTAATTGTAATAACCTGCTTGCATTGATTTCAGGCTTTTCTGCTGGTTGCGAATTATAAAGAATTTTTTTTTTTGCTAAAAACAGAAAATACTATTCAAAACCTTCCCTACTTTCAATATAAATTCAAAATGAGGTATTTGTAAAAAAAAAAAAAAAAAAAAAATACGACATTTAAATATTTTTGGCTTGTAAGGGGTTGAAAAGCTTGGTAGGGAAACTGGAGATAATTAAATCCTTTAAAAAAATGTTTCGATTTGAGCTTTTTTACTGTCTGTCAAATGGGAAGGAGATTTTTGCTGAAGTCAGAAATTATTATTCAAAACCTTCCCTATTTTCAGCTTCCCAATATTTTCCCTCCCTTATGATATTTTTTCTTGAGCGAACCTTTAGTCTGACAGACAAAATATTTGCGATCATCCCTCCAAAAGATAAATGCCACAGAATCTTTTGCACCATAAACTCCAAAACCGGTTTCGGACTTTTCCATTCCTTTGCAAAACTTTAATATTCTCCCATGTGTATGTCCGCACATTTGAACTGTATCAACCATAAAAAAGTTAATTAATTTTCATTGCAACGTCATTTATATCTGCCTCTCTACTCGAAATAATTCTCATTTACTTCGTTAAACTTGAATAATATAACGCCAGGCTTCGGCATCGAATAGTTAGCCTTGCGCAGCGGTAATATCGTAACCAATGAAGTTTAGCTGAGGTGCGATTATTGCTAGTTGAAAACTTTAACCAATACCTCGTCATAGTGGACGTGAAATACCGTCCTCTATGCCAATTTTTGAAAGCCCGCAAGGGCCAATAATTTAATCAATTTGATACTCTACAGCAAAAAATCGGATATACTCATGAAAAAATGGGACAGAGGTATATATGTGTGAGAGAAAATTTTCTCCCATAACTCTGATTTTATTCGAAAACTGGGCTATGTCGGTCACATCAATATTCTGTCTACTCGATCTGAATCAAAAAGTATCAATCGCTTTTGCCGACTGATGTATACCCTTATCCAATGTTCGATTATTTTGACTTCTGTTATGATTATTCAAATTGTTGATCCTCTTCGAACAGGTTCCGAAAATGTTGACCCTTTGTGGGAGGAGCTACCAGAAGGAGAGGACCGATATACCCCATCTTCACACCAGATCTTGGGTTGAAGATAATTAGATGTGTGAAATATGAAGGTAATCGGATGCTTTTTTTGGATATTATAATTCCTTTGGTTATTCAAAACTTTGACCCTTTGTGGAGAAGGTACCAAAAGGAATGGACCGATCTCTACCATCTTTTTAAAAGATAGATAGAAATATTGTGATGTGCGATGTCTGAATTAAAAAGGATGTTAATTTCGTATTTTATGAGCTTCATGGATATTCATTATTTTGACCTTTTGTAAGGGGAGGTACCAGAGGGAGTGGACCGATATGGCACATCTACGAACTCGATCTTAGTTTGATAATAATATTACGATATATCAAGTTTGGATCAAATTGGATACTCCCTTCGAGAGTTATCGTATGTACCAGCTAGACAGACAGACGGACGGACATCGTTAGATCGACTCCAAATATCCTGAAATGGATTTGGTCCAAAGAGACCTAGTGTGTAAAAGCGTTATTTCGACTAGGCACGTTTTGACCGTATCAAATGATATATACCCTCTCCGGAACGGTATGGAAAATGATCCCCCTAGGTTCTATAATGCATTTCAATATATTGCCTACCCGATCTGAATCAAATCCTCTCCAACTCCTTGTGGATTGAAAAAAATATCTCATATAGGGACACCCAACTGTATGGTCTCAACATCCCGATGAACATATATATGTTTGCCCTCAACACCCCGTTGTATGTATGTGTATGTGTTCAATCTTAATTGTAAGCAAATAACATTGACTGCAGTTGGTCTTGAAGTGTGAAGAAGAAAATACCCAATGTCGCCACAGAGCGCAACTCAAACAACAAATCCTTTAGAAAATATTTCTTCAACGAATATTTTACCCATTTCTTTCAGGGGTATGACGAAGCAAGATATGTATGTGTGTATGTAAGAATATCTTGAGTAAATACAAATAAGATACAAGGAGAGTAGAAAACAACAACAACGACAGCAATAATAGTTGGGAAGATATATCCATCAATTTGTTTCGATTATGTGTTAAATGTTAAACAAACCCACCGGTACAGTGGGAGATTTTCCATGGGAATTTTTTTTTTTTAAATGAATTAAAAAATCTACGTTTATGGCTTGGACAGTCCTTGAAAAAAAAAATCCACGATCATTGATTCATAGATCCTTGGAAATTTTATTTAAATAATCCATGATTTGGCTTGAAAAAAAATTATGTAAAATATCCACTATTATGGCTCGGAAGGTCCTTGAAAAAAATTATTTAAAATATTCGCGTTTATGGCTTAGCAGGTCCTCGACAAATTTTATGTTAAATATTCACGATTATGGCTTGGAAGGTCCTCGACAAATTTTATGTTAAATATTCACGATTATGGCTTGGAAAAAATATTTAAAAAATCCAAGATTACAGCTCCATAGGTCCTTGAAAAAAATATTTAAAAAATTCACGATTACTGCTCCATAGGACCTAAAAAATGTTTAAAATGTCAACGATTACTGATCCATGGGTCCTTAAAAAAATATTTTAAAAATACACTGTCGATGCTCCGTAGGTTCTTTAAAAAGATATTTAAGAAATCCACGATCAATGCTCCATAGGTCTTTGAAAAAAATATTTGAAAAATCCAAGATTAAAGCTTCATCCACGATTACTGCTCCATAGGTCCTTGAAAAAAATAGTTAAAAAATCCACGATTAATGCTCCATAGGTCCTTTAAAAATAATATTTAAAAAATCTGCAATTAATACTCCATAGGTCTTTGAAAAAATTTATTTGAAAAATCCACGTTTATGGCATGAAAAAGATATTTAAGCACGCTTATGACTTCAAAAAAATATTTAAGCACGTTTTTGGCTTGAAAAAAATATTTAAGCACGTTTTTGGCTTGCTTCAAAAAATATTTAAAAAATCCACGATTATGGCTTGAAAAAATAATTATTTAAAAAATCCACGATTATGGCTTGAAAAAATAATTATTTAAAAAATCCACGATTATGGCTTGAAAAAATAATTATTTAAAAAATCCACGATTATGGCTTGAAAAAATAATTATTTAAAAAATCCACAATTATGGCTTAAAAAATAATTATTTAAAAAATCCACGATTATGGCTTGAAAAAATAATTACTTAAAAAATCCACAATTATGGCTTAAAAAATAATTATTTAAAAAATCCACGATTATGGCTTGAAAAAATAATTATTTAAAAAATCCACGATTATGGCTTGAAAAAAAATATATTTAAAAAATCTACGGCTTGAAAAAAAAAATATTAAAAAAATCCACGATTATGGCTTGAAAAAAATATTTAAAAAATCCACGATTACGGCTTGGAAAAAAATATTTAAAAAATCCACGATTATGGCTTGGAAAAAAATATTTAAAAAATCCACGATTATGGCTTAAAAAAAATATTTAAAAAATCCATGATTATGGCTTAAAAAAATATTTAAAAAATCCACGATTATGGCTTGAAAAAAAATATTTAAAAAATCCACGATTACTGCTCCATAGGTCCTTGGAAAAATTTATTTATAAAATCCACGATTACAGCTCCACAGGTCCTTGAAAAGGTTTATTTAAAAAATCCACGATTATGGCATGAAAAAATATTTAAGCACGTTTATGGCTTGAAAAAACTATTTAAAAAATCCACGATTATGGCTTGAAAAAAATATTTAAAAATTCACGATTATGGCTTGAAAAAAAATATTTAAAAAATCCACGATTGAAAAAAAATCTACAAATCTACGATTACTGCTTCCAAACCATCGCCAAATCTCAAACACAGATAACATCAATACCAAATATTAGTACTATATAGTATATTTCGTACAATTATAGTACATATTTCCAAAACCATCTCCATGTCTCAATTCTGGTATCTGGACTTCAATATTAAATTTGAAGATTCCAGCCATATCCATCAGTAATCTAAGTACAAAATTTCAGATTTCAGCCCTATTCATTTATTTTATATCAAATTTAGTATCATTTGGTACTTGTCGTACAATTATAGCACACATTTTCAAAACCACTCCTATATCTCAATTCCAAATACCAACAGAGACCCCAATATCGAATTTCGGGATTCCAGCTCTATTCCTTCACCCAATACCAAATTTAGTACTTTTCGTACGATTATGATTATCATACCAAAACCACCTCCATATCTCAATTCCAGATACCAACAGTGACATCTATCTCAAATTTCAGAATTGTATCTCTATTCCTTCACCCCGAACCAAATTTAGTACCAATTTGTACTTTTCGTACAAATATAGCACACATTTTCAAAACCACTTCTATATATCAATTCCAAATATCAACAGAGACCTCAATATCAAATTTAAGGATTCCAGCCATATCCCTCCACCCAATACCAAAGTTAGTACCATTTAGTACATTTCGTACAATTCTCGTACAAATATCGGAAATCACTTACATATCTCAATTTCGGATACATACAGTGACATCTATCGCAATTTAAGGTTTTATCTTTATTCCTTCACCCAATACCAACAGTACCATTTAGTACTTTTCGTAAAATTATAGTATAAAAATATCCATTTAGTACTTTTCCTACAATTTTTGGTACACATTTCCGAAACCCCCTCCATATGCCCAGGCTACACATGAACTGCGACTCTAATATCAGATTTGATTTGCTCACCCAACACCAAGTTGTATCAAATTTAGTACTTTTGGTACACTTGTAGTACACATTGCCCAAACCACCTCCATATGCCTAGGCTACATATGAACAGCAAATTTCACCCTAACACCAAATTTCATATTTAAAGCATTATTTGTTAACCCAATATCAAATAGTACCAAATATGGTACTTTTTGGTACTATTTCATACCTTTTTTGGTACAATTGTTGGTACATGTGGTTTCGGCAATATGTACCTACCACCATCCCAAATAGCCAATACCAAATATGAATATTATGAACTGTACTAAATATGGTCCTTTTTGGTACCTTTCGTACACTCCATAGATCCTTAAAAAAATATTTTTAAAATCCACGATTACTGTTCCATATGTCCTTCAAAAAAAAAAAAAAAAAAAAAAATACTTAAAAAATCCACGATTACTGTTCCATATGTCCTTCAAAAAATACTTAAAAAATCCACGATTACTGCTCCATAGGTCCTTAAAAAAATATTTTAAAAATCCACGATAACTGATCCATATGTCCTTGAAAAGAAATATTTAAAAAATCCACCATAACTGGTCCATAGGTGTTTGAAAAAAATTAGAAAAATCCACGATTTGGATTTTAAAAATCCAAATTTTTAAAATCCACGATTACTGTTCCATAGATACTTAAAAAAAAATTAAAATCCACGATTACTGCTCCATAGATCCTTAAAAAAAATATTTTTAAAATCCATGATTACTGCTCCATAGATCCTTAAAAAAATATTTTAAAAATCCACGATTACTGCTCCATAGGTCCTCGAAAAAAATATTTAAAAAATCCACGATTAATGCTCCATAGATCCTTAAAAAAATATTTTAAAAATCCACGATTACTGCTCCATAGATCCTTAAAAAAATATTTTAAAAATCCACGATTACTGCTCCATAGATCCTTAAAAAAATATTTTAAAAATCCACGATTACTGCTCCATAGATCCTTAAAAAAATATTTTAAAAA